ATGCATATATATATATATATATATATATATATATGTATATATATATATATATATATATATATATCCCAATCTTGGCACGCTCAGACTCTGGACCAACAGATGGTGCTCCATCAAAATCGAAAACTGGTCTTTACAAACTGGGTTTCTTAAATCGTCAGATGCCTTCTTAGAATTATATGTTATCAGGTAACAAAAACCACCACTTACACCATATGGGCAGTGCTACCAACAGTTCACCAAGAGCCCCATTGTGCACAGAGGGACTGTATGGAGAGTTGCAGTTTATTTGGGAGGAAGGTACCTTTGAGAACATGGAACTATTAGTTTCCTTATAAATAAACTAAAACATGCAATACTGGAGCGCTTAATATTGAGGACTCTATAGGGGTAGAGATAAAGTTATTGATAGATTATATAAAATATTAATTCAATACCAGCTACCACACTTCAAAGTGATCCCTTCACCACATATAAATTAAAGAAAATATGATATTGCGAAGTGGAGCGATATCAAACTGCAATACACCCCTATCCCGCATGCAGCAAAATCATCAAATTAAAAATATACTTATACTTCTTGCTGAATGGTATCTCAATTGATGCTCAGCGTGTAAAAGAAAAAAACAAAAATGATCATAGAACAGATCTGTTACATTAATTTGCACTTCTGTAAATAGTGCTAAATGTCACATATACTATAGTGAATCAGCTGAGTATTAATACATTTATTACAAATGTAAAACTAGTATAAAAAAAAAAACAGGCTGTAATAGCAATTAAAACACAAATGCAGAGTATATCACTGCTTAGTTAATATACCAAGAACAGCTCATTGCTTAATCTGTACACCATAAAGCAGATATAAAACAAAAGTAAAACACATCACTGAAAATTGGCTATATAGCAGATAACTGCTTACTAGATCTGATGGTGAGTACAACGGTGTGTATACCCGTTACTCACAGCCAAGCTTTCCCACACTGGGAGGTGTTTCCTGTATTAGAAAGTTGATGGGGATCAAATGGAGTTCCTTTTATTGCAGTCATCTAGTTCAGCGTGTAACTCGGCTGTTACACTTTCAAAAACGCCTGGCTTCTGGATAAGCTCCGCCCCCTTGTCAACGTGCTTCCATGTTGTCTATGCGTTTCTCCGTTCACAGACGGCGTCGTCAGGACGTCAAAGTGCTCAGTTACTCCCCACTCTCGGAGAGCTTTTATACACGTTCTCCTACTTATCATTATTACATTTAGGTGCACCTCATTTGCATATGTGTGGAGTCCGGATCGGCAGACCTGTTATATGCACAGTTAATGTCTGCTTCATCCCATATTAAACGGACAACATTCACTTGCAGCAGAGGTGTACCTATTTATCAATAAGCTTGTACAGAATACAGATACAGTTATCTTTGCAATACGAGGTACAATTATTTAATCATAGGATCTCATTTAAATCTAAATTCCAGCTGAATCAACATATGCAGTATATGGAGAAAAAGAGAGCATGTGTTAGTATTAATTCAACACCATATAAATATTATTTAACCCTGTGATTTTAGTGACATTTAAGATGACACAGTAATAGTAGCCTTTAAAGTGATACAGTCACAGTGTCATGATATGAAACAAAGTATCATGATAAACAGATACACTCTAAATTTTGAGTGGATATCTGAACTTTTTAAAGGGGTATAACTCCCAAAATCTATATCTTTTAGAATTACAAATTATATAAAAAATAAAATAAAATAAAATAAATAAATTATAAAAATTTATAAAAAATGACAGATCTCAAAGTCATTATTCATTCCATTAGGAATAAGAGTATTCAGTTCAAATATCCATCTCATTTCTATACGGCCTAAACTCTGGATCAGATTTCCTCCTCTCCAGTCATTTTTAACCTGTTGGATCCCTATAAAGTTTAAAAGGGAGGGATCAGAGTTGTGTAATTCCTCAAAATGTAGGGAAACTTGATGTAATTGATACTTTTTCTTAATATTGTATGTATGTTCGCATATTCTTGTTCGTAATTATCTAGTCGTACGGCCTATATATCTGAAGCCACATGGGCAAAATAGCATATAAATTACATTTTTTGTTTGACACGTTATGAGTTATTTTATCTTGTATGTCTTTCCATTGGCTTTAAACTCTTTAATACCTTGTTTATCACTGTCCATATTGCGACAGGCATTACAGTAGCCACATCTAAAGAATCCCTTCAATTGATTAATAAAATTAGATTTAGCTTTTAGCTTTTTATTTGGAATTTTACCTGTTAGAATTCTCTTCATATTTTTCACCCCTCTGTGTACTATTTTTGGGATAGGTGGTAACAATTTCACTAGAACTGGATCTTTTAGTAGCCAGTGCCAATGTTCAGAGACGATTTTTCTGACTTGTTTATTCTGAGGTCCTGAGAACTGACAGCTAAAGGGAACGCTTTTTTCTTGTTTTGTGTTTTCTTCCCTAGTTCTGTACTCCAATAGGTTATCTCTGTTTAAATGTTGGGTGTCTTCTACAGCTTTACGTAAAATATGATCATGATAGCCTCTCTCCTTAAAATCAGACAAAATCCGTTGACTTTGATGTAAAAAAACATTCTGGTCCGTACAATTTCTTTTTGTTCTAGTTAATTGGCCCTTCGTAATATCAGAGAGCCATGGGCTAAAATGGCAACTGCTGATTTCTATGTAGCTGTTTACATCAACAGATTGCTGAATGAACAATTTGAGTAGGTCTTCCCCTCCTCGCCAAATAAAGAACAAATCATCAATGTAGCGCCTGTATAGCACCAAGTTCGACTCCCAGCCACTGTTTCCTCCAAAATGGAGGGATTCCCAACGGGCCATGAATAGATTTGCGTAGCTGGGAGCGAACTTGGTGCCGTTGTAATGCCACAGATTTGTAGATAAAAAGCGTTGTTAAACCAGAAAAAATTATTCCGTAAAATAAACTCAATAGATTCTAAAATAAACAAAATTTGATTTTCAGGATATAGAGACTTATGTTCCAAATTACATCTTATGGCTTGAATGCCAAGTTCATGATCAATATTTGTATATAAAGCGTTACATCTGCTGTAACTAGCAGCCAATCATTGTCCCATTTTATTCTCTGTAATTCCTGTAGAATACTATTCGTGTCCTTCAAATATGATGGGCACGTTTTCACTAGGGGTTGTAATAGATGGTCAACATACTCTGAAAGTCTACACAAGATTGAATTGATGCCGATATTATGGGCCTACCCGGGGGTTTGGACTTATCCTTATGTAATTTTGGAAGAAAGGAGAATATTGGTGTTCTCTCATATTTTATCTCTATATATTCTCTTTCTTTTTTACTTAGTACCTCTTCCTTATATCCTTTCTCAATTAATTCAAAGAATTTCTTTTTTATTTCTTGTGTAGGATTTTGGGATAACTTTTTATACGTAAAACCATCTCCAAGTAGTCTATTTGATTCTCCTAGATAGTATTCATAATTCATAATGACTATCCCACCCCCCCTTGTCAGCTGGCTTAATCACTATACTAGTATCTTGTCTCAAGTCCTTCAATGCTACATGTTCTTGAGGAGTTAAATTTAATTCTAATCTATTGGAAGACTTTAGTTTTTGTATGTCTGAGTTGACCATATTTTGGAAGGTGGTTATCCCTTCAGACACTAACCATTTGGGATAAAAAGAAGATTTTTCTTTTAATGAAGTGTGTATTATCCCTTCATTTGTTGCATCGCGTTGTTCATCTATAGCTCTAGGGATCTCTGCGTTCTTATAAAAGTGTTTTTTAAGACAAAGTTTTCTTGTGAATTTATTCAAATCCACAAAGAATTTAAATTTGTCCAGAGTCTTTGTGAGGGTAAATTTTAGACCCTTATTAAGTAATGAAATATGCGCCTTCCCTAGTTGTTTGTCAGACAGATTAAATATTCTTATTGGCTCTACTTGAGTTTTATACGTATTTATACCTCTTTTCGTTCTTTTCCCCCCTCTGTTTCTCCATCTCCCCTCCTTTTGATTCTTTTGGTATAAATAGGGGGTGGACTCAATTCCCAATTCCTCCTTTGTTTCTCTAAAAAAGGAGTAATGGGGTTATCATTTATTTTTCTTAAGGGTTCAAAACGATTCTTAATTCTCCTATACTGTTCATGATAATTCCCTTTTTGGGTTTCCCATCTCTTGGGTTCATGAGGGTCCATTCTTTTTGTCTCATTAGTTGATTGATCCCTCTGTCTCCTAAAGTCGTCCCTTAAAGTGGGGGCTATTGTAGTTTATATATCCTGTATTGTATAGGGATCTGAACCTTTGGAGTTAAGATTAAAATTATTATTTCCCTTTTTCGGAGGTTTATTCTGAAAATTTTGAAAGTTTCATTTTCATGTTTTTTAACATAGGCCGTTTTGGTCATATAGTCTTTTTGATCTTGATAATACTTTTTCTGTTTAACCAATATCACATCATGCTCTAGTTTATTAATTTTTTCACCTATCATATGTTTTTTCTATAAATTCTTTTTCACTTTTAAATTCCTCACATTCCCTTTTAAGTTCTAGAATGTCTTTATCCAATTTACGTAGGGTTAATTGCCTGCGTTTGATGATGAAGGTCATGGTCTGGAAGGAGAGGTTATCCAGTAACGTATACCACTCCTCCATAAATTCCCCATCATCTCTATCAAACGCAGGCAACTTTCCATATCTTAGGCCCCTTGGAACTATTTTGTCTGTAATATATTTTTCTAAAGTGGCTACTTCCAATTTTATTTTAAGTTCTTTTGCTAACAAGGTTTCTAATTTACGACATATTGATTTTATTCCTAGTTTCTCATCATTTTTCTGTTCATTGGTATGATTAAAGGACATATTCTTAAATTTATTTTCTATGTCCATACCTAAGACCATTCGTTTATTAAAAACGTCCATATTATGGAATTTCTTTAAACAGCAGCTCAGACAGTAAAAAAGGGAAATCAAATAAATAAACTAAAACATGCAATACTGGAGCGCTTAATATTGAGGACTCTATAGGGGTAGAGATAAAGTTATTGATAGATTACTACCCCTATAAGTCCTCAATATTAAGCGCTCCAGTATTGCCTGTTTTAGTTTATTTATTTTTATCCCTTTTTTACTGGATCTAAGCTCTCTCTAAGCTTTTGCCCGTTTTCATCCTTTAATTTTTGCTTTTAAGCATTAACTTGGCTCACCCCAAGTTAAAAGGGTAATCCAGATGTGGACCCTGGGCTCACTGTGCCTAGAGGGATATCTGCTACACCTTACTGACGAGGCCCAAAAGAAGGCCGAAACGGTCGTCTGGGGTTGCTGTATCTCTCGTGCAGAGGGAACTTGCTGGCATTTCAGATCTGGACTGCCCGTATGGGTGAGACCAGTCTGATATGCTTCAGATATGTTCTCTCTGTAATGGCACAAGTGAGCAAAAACTATTTTGAGACCTGATTGGGGATTTACTAAAGGGCAAGTTATCGAGTCTATCTCTAAGCTTTTGAGTTCTCATTTTTTTCTTTTCTTTTTTTACCATCCCCGTGCCATAAAAAAATATTTATAACTACAGAAGCCACTTTGCTGTCACATACTATATTACTGCTGGTTCTCACATGCTGTCATTTCCACACTGTCTTAAAACTGTTTCCCTCCATAATGCTTCTTGCCATGTAATTATTCTCCATGTTGACTCTTACACTGTTATTTACTAAAGGGAAAGCCTTACATTTTAGTTTCACCTTGAATTCACTTTAAATTCTCACATTTGTAAATAGCCCTGTTAATGTTCTCCCTCCCTGTCCCACTTGTAATTCTGTTTCTTGTTGAAGTCCCTCTATCTCCATTCCACTCTGCATGCTGGCTCTCCCCATACCATTTTCTTCTTAGTATTGCTCTCAAATGCGACTGTTCCCATGTTGTCTTTCATGCTAACTGCTTCTTATCACTGTATCTAACTCATGATGTCTCTTATTGTGCCTCTTCCCATGCCTGCAGTTTCTCACCCAACCCACTGTCCCATGCTCCTAGGCCTTAATTTGTCCTTTATTACTATTTCCCTCAATGTTCTGTATCCTATGTTGTCTCTCACATTTGTCAGTCACTTGATCCACTGTCCATGTTCTCTTACTGCTGTGTTCTGCACCATTTCCCTTATTACTTGCTCTTTCTAGGCAGTCCATCACCATTTCCCTCTTATTGCTGACCTCTCTCAATTCCATGCACCATTTGTTCACCAGAATTCACCAGCCCACTCACCTTAGAACTCCCAGTGTTCCACAATCATTGCTTCTACCTGCAGTCCTATCCATCACTTGCTTACGTAACTTTTTGGACTGCTTTTCCAGTTGCTGTCATGCACGTATCTAAGATATCTTCCTGTTTGTGGCAGTTATATGGTGCCCATCATGGCTCTCAAGATCCATTTGTACCTGTGATGTAACTGAAAACTTCTCAATAATGAAAATAATTTCCTTATTAACCTCGCAATATGGGTGTATCAAGCCCCAGATCGCAAGATTCATGATGAAATCACAGTTTAGGTCTGATTTCGATAAACTTTCAGATTTTCGTGGAATTACTAGCAGAAAAATTGTTTGTGAAGTGACTTTGAAATCTGTCACACAATACTGTCTGCAAGTCAGAAACTTTTAAAAAGAAGTAAATAAAAAACAAAAATAAAAAAACAAATCAGTATTCATCTTTAATGAATTGTGACGTTTTGGATTGCTAGAGCACGTTATTGCATTCAACCTGGTCATTGGATCCAATTTGCTAGATAAGAATATCTTTATCTTGCTGCATACATTAAATATATCAGTGAGCTACTCGAATGTATCTATACCTGCTTAGATTTTTTACAAATTTATTTATAGGATAGGCAGCTCAGGCGGGCATGAAGCGACTTGGGTTAAATGTAATGATAATGATCCATGACCCAAGTCTACAAGTAGAAAATATATTATCTAACACCACACAATTTTGTGAAGCTTACTGAATTTAAATTGTAGTTGGACTTAAAGCCAGCCAAAATGCAAGCAATCAAACACAATAAACGATTTGGCTGTTCGAAAACAAATGCATATTAATGTGCATTAGCTGAAATTTATTTGTTGATACTGATATACATAACTGACTGCAAACACACATTTAAACATATAACATATTACTTTGTGGCCCTGGTCATTAAGATTCACATATTTCCACTACACAGACACTGCAGCCCATTACACATACATGTTCATTTTCGCAGGATGTTTTTACAGGAAGGCATGTTAACTCAAGAGCTTCAGTAGTCTGGCGTGGTTCAGAAGCAGTACATGTCTGTTACCTATCTAAACATACCATTCCAGGAAACAAGCATTTCTGGAAAATTAACTACACTAGAAATTAATGTAGCAATTTGTTTACTCCTTTACCATTTAAACCCGTAACCCGCTCTATATCATAATAACTTTTAATGTCCAGAAGGAAGGGCAGTCCTCAGAATGGACCCCTCCAATGGGGGTTTTTCATCTCCTGCGTGCCTAAATGAACACTAAAGGAATCCAGGCTTCTTCATCTCAATTAAGTGTTCTGTGTGTAAGTGCCCTTTACTTTTAATCTTGCAATAAAAAAAGCATTGCCATTTAGCATTCCGCTGTGAGAACCAAGCCAATCTTTGTTATCATAACTAACCTCCAATAGGAGTGCAACACTTCTACGCATGCGCTTTTAGTCCCCAGTGCTGGAGCATTGCATTAGGATGTTACAGATGGCATTATGAACAGATGCAGGAACTTGATCTTGTTGGAAAAGAAGGCAAGTTGAACCTTTATTTCCTATTTTTTATTTAGATTTTTGGGAGGGGTTGAACTTGACCTTCTTTGAGGGTTATTTACATATGGCTATGATGTGAATGTCAATTGCAAAAAATAAAAATAAAATAAAAAAAATCCCATATGAATGCAGATGGTTTTGAAAGTAATGGTGTAGTTGTGTTAAACAATCAAGATGAAAAAGCTAAAATAGCCATCTGATCTACAGAGTAAGGTTTGGCAAGAGGAATAGACATAAGAACTTGCAAGGCCGGTGCTTCAAGGAGCGCCAGCCCCTCAAATGCTGCAGCCGCCTGAGTGCTCTATGGAAAGCCTCAGGCGGCTGCAGCACTGCCCGGGCCAACGCGTCCATGTGGGTGCACCGGCCCGGGCACGCAAGAAAAGAGGAATCGGTAGGAGGGAAGCATACAGAGCTCCCTCCTGTCAGTCCCTCAGTGTAGTATGGCCGAGCTCCGGTCCGCGATACAGGAACATCCGTTTCCTGTACGCGGCCGGACTAACAGGAAGTGCTCACTCGGAAGTGAGCACTTTCTGTCAGTCCGGCCGGGTACAGGAAACAGATGATCCTGTACCGCGGATTGGACTGGAACCCGGTCATGCTACAACAGAGATAGGGGGTGGGGCGGGAGGGTGAGGAGAACGGGGGAGGGGAGAGTGGAGACCACTGAGGGAAGGGAGGTGGGGGAGAGACCACCATGGAAGGGGAGTGGAGGAGAGACCTCTATGGGAAGGGGGTGAGGAGAGATCACTAAGGGATGGAGGGGGTTGAGCAGAGACCACTAAGGGTGGGGATGAGGAGAGACCACTAAGGGTGGGGGTGAGGATAGACCACTAGGGGAGGGGGTGGAGGGGCTTAATTGATGTTATTGATGCATTAATTATTGTTATAAAACTGGCAATGATATTATGTCAACATTAACATACATTGCATCTGTCATGACTAGCACCAGATGAGAAATAGGAACACCGCACTCCCTTTAGAACCAGGGTTTTAAAGTGGACAGAGGCAGACCAAACCTCAATAATAAAATAGAAAACAAAAAAAAAACATTCACCTATAAAATGCAGTGCAAAAGGTAAGCATGCATAAACAGAAATGGTAATTACCCTTTCCACATGGTAATTAAAGACTATTGGAGTACAGCCAAGGTACACTCTAGGCAGGGAGGTGACCCCTAGTGGAAGTGAATATCAAAAATAAATATTATATTGCACTTATGCATATAAGTGGAATTGAATCATCAAGACAATATTTTAAATGTAAAGTATGTGTATCAATATTCAGTGTTTATCGAAAGTTTATTCAAACCGATTATTATTGAATCCCGATAAACTTTTAATGAATGTACTTTAATGGTTTTAAACTGATAAATGAACTCCTGATAAATGTGATTGGCTCTATATATGCTATTACAAAATAATCTTATGTCCCTATTCAAAACGTTACTATAGAGAGTCCCCTCTTTTCATGCTTATAACAGTAAGGAGCTAAGAAGCAAGGGCCTTTCTGATTGTGGTTCTGGAGAATAAAGTTTCTAATCGATTTGCTTTGAATAACATTCAAGCTTTGATTGATGTTGTAACAGACCGTTTCAGCACACAAGGGGTTAAAACCGTTTAGGCGATCGTCCCCTTTCCAGAGACACAGGCACAGCTACTGCAGAACACCAATCCGCCGAACAGGAAACCATATGAATGCTGTAAACAGCCGAATAGGAAAAACCATACAAATAGGTTTACACTCCTAGCAGTCGAACTGGAACAGCATACAATAAATCCCCCCAAGAACGAGACAAAGCTCCGTGTTGAGGGTCAAGCAGTGAACAGTCAGAGCTGTGGGTTTATTGTGCTTATGTACACATTCTTACACATTAGTACCACCCACAGGGTTTTGGAACACAACCAATAAACACATACAATACACTCAGACACTCCCACACAAATTCCTCCCCTCTGCCTGTGATTCAATTACCTTACACAATGGGTAATGTAATTAGCACAAGCAGAGAAATACAAATTTTCCACATTATTCATAACTTGAAAAGTATGCATCACATTCACATAAAACTTACATTTTCAGAATCAGCATACTCCAAATACAAACGTATGTCAAATTCATACAAATTGGTCCAATGGTTCAAAAGATAGATCGTAGTTCTTTGTGACCAAAGGAAGCATTGTTTTTCTTCCCAAAACCAGTTCCACAGAGTCTTCTATCCTGGAGATAATTGGGAAGTAATCCAATTATCTCCAAGCACAGAGGCAAAACTCC